TTCTGGTCTGTATTTACATACATGCTAATCATGTTGATTAGAGTTCTATTTAGCCGTTCCTTTAGTCTGGGGATGGTAGCTCGTCGTGAAGCAGCGTTAAACTTTGCACATTTTCATGACTTCCTTCATCAAATTGCTAGTGAACTGTGAACCTCTGTCGCTAATAAGAAACCTTGGGGCCCCGTGACGTAAAAAAATGTTCGATTAAAAATGTAGAGACTTCTTTCAATGTTGCTTCTGATACTGCCTTTGTTTCAGCGTACCTGGTATAATAATCAGTCAACACAATTATCCACTTCCTTCTTCTTTTCTTTGATGGTAAGGGACCAACAAAGTCAATCCCGATTCTTTCAAAAGGGTTGTTAACTGGGGGAATGGGTTGCAAAAGTCCAGAGGGCGACTGATTTGAATCTTTCCGACTTTGGCAAAGATGGCACGTCTTTACAAATTCTGAAACATCTTTCAGCATGGAAGGCAAATAATATTTATTCTTCAAACGGTATGTGGTTCTGGCGACGCCCAGATTACCATTCAGCATATGGTTGTGGTATTCACTCATGATATCCTTCCTTCTCTTCTTCGGCACTACCAGCAACCATGCTCTGCCTTGAGGGTTTGGGTTCTTCTTATATAGGCATACATTTTCATCTTCAAAATTCTGTGTGATTGCTCGTTTGCTTCCTTTAAGGCATTCCTTAATATTTTCTATGAATTCATACTCTTCATTTATTATCTTATTCAAAAATAGTCGTTCATAATTTGACCCAATCCGTTTCAGGTAGGGGTCCTCTAGATAAGCCATCAGCATTGAAATGTTTTTACCCGATTTGTGTACACCTATCCCCCGATTTACACGGTACTTGTTTTACACGTTTTCGCTTTTACACGGTTTTCCAAATGAGTTTTTTTTTTTGTTTTTATCGCACTATACTAAATGCTACTGTGATTGAACACATGCGCTGTGTACACATCTCACGAGGAATCCCGAGCTTATGTGCTGACTTGCTGCACACGCACACTGTGTCTGTATTTCTTCGCATAAAATTAGTTTTATCTACGGAAAATTGTATTTTAGTGAAATTTTCTCAGTTTCAGAAAGATTTAATTTTACATATTCGTAAATTACAAGTGAATGCATAATTTAGATTATTATAAATTAACGGCTGTGATTAAAGTAAAATTAAGAGGGAAAAAATGCGGGAAATTTTGGAGGGAAATGATGGCAATTTACCAAATAGGTTTAATTGATATTAAATAAAATTAAAACATTTTAATTTGAATAAAAATTATAATATAAAATATTGATTGCCCGCTAGGTGGCCAACGGATGCGCAGCAGAAACGTCGGCTCCAGCTAAGTACTTTTTATCTTTGTATTTTTATCTCTTTTTTCTAATTTTAATACTTATACACTTAAAGTAAGCTAAGATAGCAACTTAAATTAACTTTGAAATAGGAATAGGGGAAATAAATGATAAAACTTACTATAATTTTGATATTACTTAATTTATACTTGCATCTTCTGTGTCGATCCGGTGTTTTGCCAAATTGGTCCTGCCTAACCTCGGCGAAAACAAATCAGCATACTTAATCAAAATTTGTTTCAACTCCTCTAGTTCTTTAGGTGATACATTTTTGTTTAACTGAAATTGGATTTCGTCATTATTAATTTGCTCTAACTTCTCTATGAAATTTACCTCTGCAGGAAGGTTTCCATAAGCCAATGTTTGGTCTTTCATGATTTTTAAAGGTCGAGGATAAGGGTTCGTTATCCGGATATGAGTTTTCCTATCCGTGACAGTAAGCAAACTTCTTGCCAATCGAAGACCATTTGTTCGAATCATTCTGTTGTTCTCTTCGATGACATATTCGCCTTCCCCTGCTTCTATTCCCCTCCACACATTCCCGAAACTTCTTCTAAAAAAATTCCATTTTCTTGCACACGACAAGAAGTTCATCGGTCGTTTTAGGAGGGTTTTGGTAGAGCCCGAATGATTACTCTTTTTTCAGTCCTCCAATAACATGTTCGATTTTTGTTTCTTCTTCCATTGCGGGGTCAACCTTATTGCACAACACTAGAATATCTTCCGCGAACCTGATTGCTGGTTCATTCCAATGTTGCATTCTGTTAAACTTCATTCTTTATTCGCATAGAAAAAAATTCTGAATGAGGCGGATTTTCGTGAATCTAGCTTTGTGCAAATTCAACTAGGTTTCGGCACTTTCAATCATGTTCATGGCGGCATAACGGACAATTATGTAGTCTGCCCAATGGTAGAGGAAACCAATCTCTTCGAGGGATTCTATCCATGGGCGAGGGTCTTCTGTCCCGTCATACTTCGGAATTTCTATATTGGGGTTCAAAGCAACTGGGTCGGAACCAGCATCTCTACCAATTGTTGCGCCAAGTTGCAGCTTTTCAGGGTCGTCGACCTTGGTTTCTTCCTTCTTGGTGTTATACACGTTTCCCGAGCGGGTTTCCTTAGGCAAAGCAAATAAATAAAATAAAATAAATAGAATCAAATAAAAATAAATTACCTTTTAAAGTTATTGCGTTTATTTATTCTTGTCTTCCTCGTGGGTCACGATCCGCAGTCTTGGTCCAGGTCCTCTCTCGCTCCAATAAGCAATAAAAATATATGTACAATAAAATATTACAAAAGGAATGAAACTATAAAAAGGAATGATGATAATCTAAATAATGTTTTAAATAATAAACAAATAATTATAATTTAAATTTTGAATAAATTAAAAATAATATTATAAATAATTTACAAAATACGCGCATTAACCATGATGTAACAATATTCGATGATATTGTACATATGCGAGGTTTGTATCGCCCTATTCCAATATTGTTGAAAGGTCCTTCACCAGAAGGTTCGTTGAGATCGTGGAATGACTGTGGCATAATGTGGCCAAAATGGATGTGACTTCTAATGTATTTTATTATTTGAAAAGAGGTAAATTTCGTTAAAATCAAACAAATCGCCAATAGTTATTCTTAAACCCACTAGTGTCCGCTCATATCAATATTCATACAAATTATATGACGCTTCTCTATTTGAAATAAAAACATTCAATTTAATAAATTCAGAAATGAGCCATATAACCGTAGCTTCCTGAGACGACTTCTAAAGTAATTAAATGGATGACATATATGGTTATTTTGAAAATTTAGCAATCCATAGATAAATCCTTAATTAAACAGGCATATATTGGATCAAAAAATCATTTATTTTACCATGAATATTTAATTAAAAAGGCCTATATTGGATTATTATATTATATTGGAATAACAGCTTGATAAAGGTTGGCGTTCAGCCAGCTGAAATATTGGTAAAAAAAAATGATTTTTTGATCCAATATATGCCTTTTTAATTAAATATATATGATTATCTTTCGTAATAATAAATAGTACACAATATCTGCACATTTATTTATGATTACCATATTTTGGCAGAATGTATCCTCTATATCTAATAATTAAATAATGTAATTAAAAAACTTCGGAAAAATAAAATAGATAATACATCTCTTGTATGAGTTATTTACTTCTCGACGGCGACCTCAGGGGAACTCCAGACTTTATGAAACAAACTCCCAACTAGCAAATAATTGTTACAGCCATTTATTTAAGTAGCACAACGTTGTTATAATAGCTGTTGATACATTAACGTATTGTTTAGGAGAGTATATATGGAGTTAGTTGTACCTGCTGTAACTGACTCGTTGGTTTCTAGTAGGATTGGGGCTGAAGTGGCTACTCTGCTAGACTGTATTCCTAAATGTAATTATTATTTACTTCTATTATATAAACTCTGTGTGTTCAAACATATTATTATACTCTTTGTACTCTATCTTGGTGTAGCATCATTAATACGATTTATATATTCAAAATTAAAAATTAAATAACGAAATAATAATGCTTTTTATTATATTTTTTTCTCATTTTATTATCATTTCTATATTTCAGTTTAAAAATACAATAATATTATAAGTGGAAGTGATATTTTTCTTAGTTGAGTAATTAAAGGGAAATGGATTCTATCTCAAAATCAATAAACGTTAAACTTGACGAAATAAAAAATTATTAAGTTATTATTACAAGTTTAAAAACAATCAAAGTAATCAAAAATGATATATCTTATTTGTCGTCTATGATAAATCAGGCAAAAAGTGGATTAGAATTTTTAGAATATCTAAAAAAAATAAACAAAATATAATTTAAAATTTTACTTAAATGATTGATAAAACAATAGATAGAAAATTTGAAAAATAATTAAAGAACTGCCTAAACCTAAATCCTATTCTCAAGCAGTACAACATACCGAACTTATTAATGAAAAACAACAAGCACATAAATCAACATTGATAGTAGCCTCAGAAAACGTAGAAACTATTTTATGATTTAATCAATACTGTTTTCAATAAAAAATAAATGTTCTAAGAGAAAGTGGCAAGAAAGTCAAAATGAATAAAATATTTAATACTAGAAAATCGATGATAATAAAATCTCCTAGAATTCTGGATACCAATATACTGCGAGAAGGATTGGAAAAGTCGGAAGAACTGAAAGGGGTAACCAAATTTTCATACCCAGACCAATAGAGATCCACAAATAGTAATTAAAAATGTATGTAAATTAACCGAACCATCGTCATAGGAACAAACGGTATGCAAAATGAATTTGAATTTGAGGGAATGGAAAATGAAATGAAATTTATTTTTTAAAAAATCTGATACACCCTATATCAAAATTTAGTTTTAAGAATGTCTCCAAAAGTTTATCAGAAATTAAGGAAAATGAATAATGTAATATATAATACAATATAATGCGGCTTATGTTTGTAAAACGACATTGGAAAATTACCCCGCATGCGTCTCTTTTAAACGAGAAATCGATTTTTTTTTAAGGAGAAATAACGATTATTTCCAACCTTAGGGATGAAGTATGAAAGGATGAATTGTGAAGAGTAGTGATAAACGGCAAAAAAAAGTGTCCATGAATGGGAATCGACCCACAGTGTTCCGCTTACCAGGCAGATGCCATGTCCACTAGGCTACCCTGGACATATTTTTCCGTTCGTAAATATTATTGATGTAAATGAACTTAGAGTTACGCAGACGTATAAAAATAATTAAATTGTGTATATATTTATTTATTGGGTTTAGACGAAGACTAGAGTGAACACATTCTGTCGAGAGATATGTAAATTTTGATTGTTTATTTTTTGGATTAAATTTGTTTTGTTAAATTGCTTTTATGTAAATATTTTTAAATAAGGTAAATAAACTTCTTTTACTTTATAAATTCTGATATTTTTTTTAAATAAATGTGGTTATACTATTTCTAATAAATTATTTAATAAGTAAAATAACAATGGCGACGAGGATTTCGTTCGAACCACATATAATGAAAGAAGAACCTTTTGAAAATTTTATTTAGCGATTCAAACAGTACATCTTTGTTAATGAAATCGAAGGTAAGAAGATTGTTCCCTTTTTTATTGTGTCTGTTGGAGCGAATACTTATAGTATTCTAAGAGAATTGATCGCACCTAGAGATGTTTGTGCAATAGAATTCGAAGAAAAAGTGAGTATTTTAATTGCTCATTCTACACCGAAGCTAAATATCATTTTTGAAAGATATGAATTAAGCCAATTTGTTCAGGAACATGGCGAAGAAAATAGAAGACTATGTCCTTGAATAATAATAATAATAAAAACAGGCTAATAGGTGTAACTTTGGCTTAAAATTTGAAGAACACCTAAGGGATAAGTTTGTTTCAGGAGTTTCTAGTCAAGTTATTTTGAAATGATTACTGCGAGACCCTGAGCTCACTTTTAATATGGCAGTAAATATGGCTACCACAATAGAAACGGTAGATTGTAATGTGCTGAAAATGAAGTCTTATGCTGAAACTAAAGAAATAAACAAATTACATTCTAAGTGCAAACATTGTGGAAAGATGATTCACCATTCGGACAAATGTTTTTTTTTTTTTAATTCTTTCTGCTATTCTTGTAAACAATTGGGACATATATCGACTGTATGTCATTTTAAGTCTAAGAATAGATATTTTCAATCAAGAAAGAGTATTTTGTATGTATTCGACATAAAATTCTTAGCAGAAATTGACACTGGTGCGGCTTTAACAACTATGTCAAAAGATATATTTTTCAAATATTTTGAACATATTAAATTGTTTCGGTCTAAATGTTATTTAACTGATTATCAAGGAAAGGGCATTACCTCTATTGGAGAATGTAAAGTAGAAGTAAGATTTAAAAATAAAATAGGCCATTTAAACTTAATAGTAACAGATATTAAAAATAATAAATTTCTCATAGGAAAAGACTGGAGAGTATTTTTTGATATGGTACAAATTAATGTCCAACAAAATAATAATTTTGAAATTAAATATACTAAGGGAACTGAAATACCTCTTGCAGATTTTCTCTCAAGATTTCCAAATCCTGAAAAAGGGGAGAAGGAAGAGGAGATGGGAGAAATATTATTAATAGAAAATTCAATATTAGATTACGTCTTGGTATCAGACAAAACCCAAGAAGATCCAACTCTTAGAAAACTATATAAATTTATCAAGTATGATATTGACTCGGATGTAGATATAGAACCTTACCTTAGAATTAAAAACGAGATAACAATAGTAAGAAATTGCCTATTTTTCGGAAATAGAATGATAAGACCCGATTACTTAAGAGAATATGTTTTGAATATCATTCATGAAAATCATATTGGAATAAATAATATGAAGACTCTGGCCAGAAGTTCTGTCTATTGGCCAGGAATGGATGAGCAAATTGAAAAATTGTCTAAAAGCTGTAGCATTTGTATGCTGCCAAACCAGGAATTTACTGAGTGGACTCAACCAAACAAAGTTTGGAAGAGGAATTATCTTGACTATTTCTATTTTGCGGGAAAAACCTTTTTGATATTAGTGGATGCGCATTCTAATTGGATAGAATGTCAAATGGTTCCAAATACATCGGCGGGATTCTGCATAGACTTTTTGAGAGAATGTTTAGCGAGGTATGGTATCCCGGAGGTGGCGATAATGGGCCCCCGTTTAGAAGTTATGAAATGAAGACATTTTTCGAAAAAAACGGCATACATGCGATGTTTAGCCCCGTCTACCATCCAAGGAGCAACGGAATAGCGGAAGTGTCTGTAAGAGAGATAAAAAAAGCTATGAGAAAAATTATTTCGGAGGAAAGAGAATTACCCCTTGAGTTTGCTTTGATAAAAGCATCATATGCCTATAGATTGAGTCCTTTGACTAGAACGGAAAAATCCCCTGCTGGAATATTTTTAAATCGCGAGATTAGAACGAAGATTTCCATGTTGAGCAAGAAATCAGTAAGAGTAGGGAGATTGAAAAAAAAAAACAGAGCAATAGATACAAAATAAATGACAGAGTAAGATACAGATGGATGGAAAGAGGAAAGCCGAAATGGATGTTTGGGATTGTAAAGAGAATAGTAGGAAGCAACAGCTGTATGATAGAAACTGATGGAATTGAAAAGAAAGTAAACTATATGAGGAGAAGTATGGAGAGAAAGGATGTTTTCTCATCAGAAGAAGGAATAAGCTACCCAAGGCATCAGACGTCAAGTCCCCTGACTCCTGCTACAATAGTAGCAGAATCTACACCTTCCTGGAGATATCTACTACGAGAAAGGAGACCACCGGATAGATATGTACCTTAATAAGTGTTGCTATCTTAAAAAAGGGGGTGTTGATGTAAATGGACTTAGAGTTACTCAGACGTATAAAAATAATTAAATTGTGTATTTATTTATTTATTGGGTTTTGACGAAGACTAGAGTAAACACATTCGGTCGAGAGATATGTAAATTTTGATTGTTTAATTTTTGGATGAAATTTGTTTTGTTAAATTGCTCTTATGTAAATATTTTTAAAAAAGGGAAATAAACTTCTTTTATTTTATAAGTCCTGATATTTTTTATTTTGTTTAAAATAAATGTGTTTATACTATTTTTCTAATAAATTATTCAATAAGTAAAATAACAATTATATAAAGTAATTTTTAATACAATATAATGTGGCTTATGATTGTAAAACGACATTTGAAAATTACCCCGCATGTGTCTCATTTAAACGAAAAGTCGATTTTTTTAAAAGGAGAAATAACGATTATTTCCAACCATAGGGATGAAGTATGAAAGCATAAATTGTGAAGAGTAATGTTAAACGGAAAAATAAAAAGAGGACATGGCATCTGCCCCGGTAAGCGGAACACTGTGGGTTCGATTCCCATCTCTGGAAACTTTTATTTTTCCGTTTATCATTACTTTTCACAATTCATTCTTTCATACTTCATCCCTAAGGTTAGAAATAATCGTTATTTCTCCTTTAAAAAATTTCGATTATTCGTTTAAAATAGACACATGCGGGTTAATTTTTAAATGTCGTTTTACAATCATACGCCCCATTATATTGTATTATAAATAACTTAATATAATATATATGAACGGAAAAATATATCCGGGGTAGCCTAGTGGACATGACATCTGCCCGGTAAGCGGAACACTGTGGGTTCGATTCCCATCCCTGGACACTTTTATTTTTCCGTTTATCATTACTCTTCACAATTCATCCTTTCATATTTCATCCCTAAGGTTAGAAATAATCGTTATTTTTTCTTAAAATTTTTCGATTTTTCATTTAAAAGAGACACATGCGGGGTAATTTTCAAATGTCGTTTCACAATGTAATATATATTGAATTCGAGCGGTGTGTAGTGTGTGTGTGTGTTATATACAGGATATAATATTTGTTAAACAATGTCAAAATTGAAAAAATAGTACAAATGTAATAATGTACTGGGATAAGGTGCATAAATTCAGAAAAAGGCATCTCCTTATCGTGCAACTGAAAGTTGCTGATGGCTTGCGCCATCTATCGGAATAAATAGCAACTATTCTCGTTGATTTTTTTAATTATTCCAATTTGGCCAATTCTGGAATAATTAAAAATCAACGAGAATAGTTGATATTTATTCCGATAGATGGCGCAAGCCATCAGCAACTTTCAGTTGCACGATAAGGAGATGCCTTTTTCGGAATGTAAAAATTGTTTCGAATATACCCAGACTCATATATTGAGGGATTGTCCCAAAGTTAAAGTTTGTAAAAACAGAGGAATATAGAGCGATCATAGCTGCACTGGAGAGCTAAATGATTTAATTGCTTGAATTACCCTAAATATAAAAATAGCTCAACAAATCATAGGCCAAATTCTAATCTGTGCCCGCTTTATAAAATACAATTAGATCGAATAATCCAAAGAATACAATTTTTTCCCATAAATGAAGAATAAGAAACATCTCGTTCAAATTATTTAATTGACAATTTTAAACATAAATATTCTAAATGAATGAAAATATAAAGTGTATATACAACAAAAAGTCAGGAAGAGTTTAATAGAAACCAATGAACTACAATCCAATATTATATCTAACCCACCGGATATTCTTTTAATTCAAGAAGTGTATGTATTGCACAATGATGTTATTTTTGACATAGAATCTCAGATTATATTCTCGAATAAAAACGAAGATAAATATACAGCAATTATTTTATTGAACAAAAACTTAAGATATATAAAGGTCGAAAACTTTACAAAATCATTTTGTACATCAACAATTATTCCAACATCCAGAAATAACATATTAATTTCTAACTTCTATATTCATCCTAATTCTTTTTGCAGTGAACATTTAACTTTCATTAAATATTTGCTCGAAACTTACGAAGACCGGTCTCTAATCCTTTGCGGTGATTTTAATTCTCGTCATCCAGTTTGGTTCAATAAGGTAACTAATTCCAACGGATATAGATTACAACCATTTATTGAAGAATCTAACCTATACATTCATAACCTGAAAATTAACACTTTTCTCTCTCTCTCAATACTAGTATAATAGATCTCACTATTTCTAATAGCGGAACACTGCCGAAATATATAAAACTTCTGATCATGCTGCTATAGTATTTGAAATAAGATCAAAAACAATTATTCGATT